AATAATACATTGAGATCATCTGATCACAGACTCACATCGTGAATTACCACATATTCAAATGTTACATTGTAATAAGATTGTGAAATGTTGAATCCAAATGTTGGACTTCCTGCCGACATAATAAAATTTGCGCGTTTGAAGTTCGAAAGAAAATCGTCCCGTGACACTACACAGTCTCAAATGTGTAGATTTTTTTTGTTTTTAGCATAGTTGATCGATAGGTTTTCATTGTTTCTAGTTTAGAAAAAGTATTTTCATTGATAATCACTGTTAGAGCAATGGTTAGAACATAAGGTGTGCTCGAACAATGCATGACCTCAAGTATAGATTGTACAAGCCATTGAATTTGCATCAATAGTTCTATCATTATGATGTGTGCTAAGAGAGTTTGAGTATGAAATAATAGACTTCTCTTCGTTAATATGAACACTCACAGAGACTCTTTTGGAATTTTTCAATCATTACTCTCTCTCAGTTAAGGAATTTGAACGAATAGCCTATGTGTTATTTCATTTTTTTCGAAATTATTACTTTTGATTAATATCCTTTTGATAATATTTTCTAAAGACTTTCAAGAACAATCTGAGCTTTACTCAACAATTCATTTAATTTGAATGATTCAATACGAATCAGAGACTTGACATCCAACGAGAATTAAATCATGAAAATGGATAAAAAATTTATGGCATATTCGAATTAGTTGTTTTTCTTGTATTGAACTTTTTCCTGTATGTCATGGATTGTCATTTTCAGATGATTCTCGCTCGCCATGGTAGCTCCCAGAGAGTCTTATATTATTTATATTATGGATCAATAATCTCTAGCAAGTCTTGACATATCAACGTCATTGAATGTATTCAACAAGCAATCATCATCTAAAATTGGTTTATGTCAAACAATAGAATATTTCTACTTTCTATTTGTTGAACACAAATAATTGTAAGAGCACTAATAAATATAAGATAGTTGATGGTATTCTTTGAAAATTCATCGTCAACACTCGTCGTAGCAAACATATTCTTGCAACGACTTTCAATCAATAAATATTTTGTTTGTTAAATGAATTCATTCTAAGAAAATCATTCATGGTTTGTCTTTAATATTTTCAATGAAAACTATCTATCATTATCATGATCCTTGGAAAAAAAGACATTTTTTTTTCTTCTCACGTAATACTTTGTACATTTTGACCAATATGATTATGACGAATTGAACATATTTTATGAGAGAAATTATTCACATAAATACAACCGAACAAATAATTCGATGTAGAAAAAATCTTAGAGCTTTGAGAACGAACAGAAAACGATCTAGTTGGTCATTTATGTATATCGGCAAACATACAGTTGCACGCAGACATTTGGTCGCTCGGAGCAATCACTTCCTAGAACACTTGGTCATTTTGTAGGCGTTTATAACAATTTTAAATAAAACAATGAAATAAGATGTCACAATAAACTAATTTTGGCTATCAGAATTCATCAGCATCATAAACTAATCGATTTAATTGTTTCAATGTTTCTCCAACTAATGATTCTAATATAATGACAAATTCTGCTCAACGATAAATATATATGTATAAGTCGCACAGATTAATAGAATGAATTCACGAAAAGCGATAATGTCAGTTACTCTATCAAAAGTAGACATTTGGATAAATGAATGACAGAAGAAAATAACATACATTCGGACATTATTAACGCGATGAAAGGAACACAACTACCAGTAGAAAAACAAGAATAATTAAATAAATGACTTCGAAAATCTATAGAAAATCCGCATGTAAACATTTCCAACCAATTAATATTGATTCGACATTTGCTTTCTCTATAAAATCTGAAATTTTGTTCTCTTATGTTTATTCGAAATTGTGTGATGCTTATTGTTGAATTCCTGGTGTATTATTTTTCTAATTTTGGTATATTCTTCTCTGTTCAATCTTCCATAACATCATCAGTAATGTTTTTGTCACATATTATTTCTAATTTATATTTTGCGAGCAAGTGTCCGAGCGATCAACTGTTCTAGATCTCTTATATCAAATGACTGATTGAATGATGTACGAGTTACAACTACGCATAAAAAGGAGGCGTTTGGCTTCAGTCAAAGGAAATGATATTTGACAAGATGTTGATGATTCTATTTTTGTTTGAAAGAATCTGATGGGTGTTTTGTTCTTGATATCTAACTGCTTTTGACATATCTGAATGCTCCTCTACAGCATCCAAATTAAGTATTCTTTGAAGACGTCATGGGAATTATATATATGGAGGATAATTAAATCGTAAGAATGCATTTAAATAATTTTATTATGACTGAAGAGTAATCGTGCAATTGTTCGTTCAATTTTTTAAAAGACAAAAATGTTAGTGTATGAAATAGCTCTTCAAATCGGATTTTGGAGTCCAATTGTTTTGTTTTCAATCGGAGTTCCAGCGACCTGTCTTAATGTGATAATATTTCTTGGCGTAAAAACATTTCGTCGATCTCCATTGGCTTATTATGTTGTGGGGCAATCAGTAGCTGATATCAATGTCTTATTGATTCTGCTTTTTCAAATAATTCCATCGACATCAGTATCGGTTTCATCCATTGCTTGTAAGTTACTGGTCTTTGGGATTCAAATGATGGTGTCTGCTGCAATGAGTTTTCTTTGTTTGTCTGCATTTGATCGTTGGGCATGTACGTCTCAATCGGCTCGAATACGGCAATTGAGCTCGACTTCTGTTGCTCGCTGTCTCTTTCCTATTCCGTTTATTTTTTGGTCACTTGTAAATGTTCCTTTTCTCGTGTATTGTGATCTTGTGCCACCAACATTCGGTTGTTGGTTTACGGACGATCTCTTTATACAAATAGGAGTTCTCGTTTTATCTCCCATTCTGACTGTTATTCTTCCTCTAACTGTTCTAATACTGTTTGGACTATTGACATATCGTAATATTCGTCTTGTGACTCATATTCGTCAACAACCAAATCAAACTCGTCTATCAATGTGGGAACAACAAATGACAAGAATGATGTTAACTCAAACTCTTATAAGTACACTTTGCACACTTCCTCGAGCCGGTTTTAACATTTATGCGATTGCTACACTCGGAGATAGTGAAACAGAAAACTTCGATCAAATGTCCATTATACTTCTCATCAGTCAGTTGACTGTTTCTATCGCTTCTATGAATTACGCTTCATCTTTTTACATATTTCTTCTTTCATCACCGCGTTTCCGACAAACGATTAAAATGTACTTGAAATGTCAATTCATTGTGAGACATCATCGAATAGGCCCAAATAACATATCCCACACAGTACCAACACTTACTGGACGTCAAATTACAAAAGGCACTGTTTACCCGATCGCTCAAACTGAACCATTTTGATGATTATCTATTGAAATGGTCAAATGCTTAAAATACTCTCCTTTTTGAAATGTGCATACCTTAAAATCCTAAATCGAATTTTCCCTAAATGTTGTGATATACCGTATTTTATCTCCTGTCAAAATCTTTCTTTAATTTCAATAAAGTGACATAAAAGATGAGTAGATGTGATTAACGAGAAGATCGACACCGATTGCCACTCACCCATCCACAACCACACCAAAACTTTCATTCTCTCAGCCAAAGCCTTAATCATTTTGGCATTAAAATTCGTATTTATTTGAAGAAAGATTGACTGCATGACTTAGGTAGCTGAAAACATTGAATTGTTCAACCGGCGTCAATTATATAGTTAACTGCTTGATACAGCTGCATCAAACTAAATGGTTCTCCTAATCACGCAAACGTTGTCTGATCGTAGTTAATCCTATAAATATGAGCGCCATCTAAGTTGATTTTAATAGAAGTTCTACTAATTGGTATTGTATCAGAATGAGAAGATTGGTTACTTCCGAACCCTTTAGAGACATACCCCGGCTACCAGTGTGACCTTCATGATTATGTTCAGGATCATTAATGGAATGGAGATGACTACCGTTCGATGATGTAGAGAGAGAACATGTGTTATGATTGCGTGGGGGAAATCGATTAATAGTTAGCTGATGCATAACTTGTCCACCGATGAAATCAAATCTATTTATTCCAGCAGCATTGACTTGTAACTTTTCTACACCAAATGGCACTCGTCACTGAAGATCAGGAAGATTGAATGGGCACCTGCCGTCCCCAGATCCATAAGTTTCTCCAATAACAGAAAATAAACGCTTATATTCCGTACGCAAAGCAGCTGTCAATGGAAGGTTGGGAACTGTTAAGCGAAAAGATTGACTATATTTAGGTCAAAAGAAAACTTTCCACGAGAAACTAATGAATTTAAAATATGAGCTGCATATAGCGTACCTGGACAGAGATATTCAATTTTTAAGTTATGTATTATTAGGAATATAGAAGCATGATAATAGATGAACTAATATCGACGCTAAAATATAAGGCAGGTGGCTATTTTTCGAATGACTTTTGATAGGAATGACATAGAGAACTTCGGTTTTCACCATTCGAAAGAGCGATGTCCAGGTCATCGATCAGTATAGAACTCATTAAGATGAAAGATAATTTTTTATAGGTATCTCTGGATTGACACTTTTTCCCTTGAGTTCCCTTATTAGTTGGGATAAAGATATGGAAACTTAGGGTAATATTCGCCTAGTAACAAGAGATTAGATATCGCAGTTTGAGCGTTTTGGGATATGTTATAAGAGAGAAAGAGCAATTTTCCTGAAAGGGCCTAAGACTTTTGGCTCATCCTTTAGTAAACTATTACAAAAATAAAACGATAACCTATTTTGATTCATTTTCGAATAGATAAGTCAATGATTGTTTATGCAATCATTTCCGTTACAGTTTGTTTTGAGTTATGAGTGTCAATGTAATCTTTCAATTATGACCACTCACATCTACACCTTTATTATTTTGTGCATAGAGTTATGGATTAATGAAAAAGATAAAAATCTTTTCAGAGAGAATAAAAAGTATGAATGTAGTTTTATTCGAAAATTTTCTGAACTACATGAAAGTCAAGCGTATTGGAATATATTTTGTGATATAAATTGTTTGTTTCATATATATTTTTTTCTTTAATTCAAATGATATTGTGGTTGAACCAGTGGAAAATGATCCGAGAATATCATCAACGGATAAGTCAAAATCAATTTGTGTTTGATCATCATCCAATGCTATCAACTCATACATGTTTATATTATCTTCTGATATGTGTAATTTCTCCATTGTTTCTTTAGCGATGATCATTATTATTGTATCTTTATCGCATGGTAATATAACCGTTTGATTATCATACATGATGGGGCAATGTATAGATGCTTTAGAAATTATTTTAAATTGAACTTCAGTCGTATTTCCATCAATATCTTCTAAACAGACATCATCATCATCCAACGTAGTTTCATTCATAATTAAACAATAATACTCTCTTTTCAAGCAGAATAGTTGACATGCAATTTCATAGAGACGCTTTATTGTTATCGAAAGTCTACAATTGAATTGAATTGACTTATTTACTTCAGTATTTTTTATAGTAACAGTAATTGGTAAATTTTGATCAATGGCAATAAATTGAATTAATGATTCTGATTGAAATGTTATTAATTGGATGGCAGTTGATGGAACAAAGTCATTTGAATACAAAAGATATTGATGTAAAATATCTTGTTGATTTTCTTTATTAATATCAGCAATCGTAGCACTAACAACAAATCGTTGATATTTTTCACTTTCTTCTTCAGTAACATGAATAAGTTGTAAATCATTCGATTTCTTTATCAATACAAGACACATTTCATTTTCTTTAACAAGAATAAATTTTGTTTTATTTAAATTTGAAAGTTTTTCATTAGAATCAAGAATTCGTTTTGTATCATTCGTAGCTAAATATTTATAAACATCTATTGATTTTTCTGTTGAATGTAATAATTTTTCAATAGTTATATTTCTATTTAATAAAGGAACTTTTATTTGCTCTTCATCGTCATATTTTGTTATTTGTACTAAGGTCACTATTTGACAATGAATTGATTCATTTTCAATAATTCAATAAGTATCGATAGATTTTTCAAGATCCTCTTTTGTTAATGTATGTTCATTATTTCCTTTTACGACAATAAGACAATTATCAGAAGATAGATCAGTTAAATTAAAGTATTCAAGAACATTTTCATTATTTAATAAAGAAGAAATTTTCGTTGATTTTAAAGCATAAATAGAGTAATTATTTGTTTCAAATGTAAACTGAACTTTAGTTACAATATTTCAATTAATAATATCGATTATCATTGATTCTGTTTGATCAAATGTTGATAAAATACTTTGATCATTATCGAGAATTGTTTTCTTTTCTCGGATTAAAAACATATAATCATCAACAGAAGGATCAATTATATGTAAAAGAGTTTTTAGCCAAAGATTAATTTGTTGCCATTTTGTTGTTGAATAAAATAAACTCATCATTTGATTTTGATCTATAGAAAACAAAAAACAATGATTGAATATTTTCTAAAATTTTAACTATGAATTTTTGAGTCACTATCAATCATTTATAGTTGTCAAAATTGGATTTTTACTATCGGACATAACAATATTAGTTATCTCGATTTCTGTAATATTCTTAAGATTTGAAGAAGTTCTTCATGAATATTTTCAAAATACCAAGTTTTTATCCTTACCAGTTATATTTATGATTCAATAGAAATATTCTAAACTGTGAAAATTTTATATGAAATCCAATTTTCTTTCGATTGGTTATTGGTATAATTTGAACATAGGTCATTATTCAAAGTTCTAGAAATGAGTAACAAGAATAATTCTTTATTCATCTTGAAATATTTATGAACAAATTCTTCAAATCTAAAGAAAGTTATACAGATCAATATCTGCAGCATTGATTTAAACGATACTGAAAAGATGATTTTGGTAGTTGTAATGGATCAAAAACTATTCAAGGAATCGTAGTCAGTATTTAAATAAAGATATGACAAAAATTCTATCAATAGTTTTTCTTTTGATTATTATTACCTTCATTGTAATGTAAAGCAAGTTCATATAAAATGTTAGCATTTGATATTTCTTCTGTTACGAAAATTGATACTGTTTTATGATGTGTTTTACAAAGATCATTGATGATTCCATCATCAATACATTTGCCAAATTCATCAAAGAAACAAAGAATTCTATCTGATGATGAAGATTCAAGTTGTTTCTCATCAATAAAATGATGAATAATAGTTGAAATTTTACATTTCGATGTAGTGAAATATTCAGATATATTTGATCGAAAATGAATTTGAATTTGAATCAAATATTGTTTTTCAATAATATAATATTCTAAAAGTGATGGATCTGATGATGGTCGATAATTATTCTTTGTAAAATCAATAAAAATTTCATTTTTATTGACAACAACAAACAAATCGTGATCATATTTTTTCTCATTAAATAATATTTGTAATTTTTCACAAAAATTTTCATTTTTCCATAAATACGTTTTTGATTCTCCATTTGGATTTATAATTGTAAATTTTTGTGCTTTATTTGAAATAATTGATTTTATTGATGGTTCTTCTCGATATTTATGTATTTGTTGAAAAAATATTGATGATGAACATGGAACCGATTTTAAATTTAATGTCATTAAAGATATATATTTAATATCATTTTCAGAGAAATCTTCAGATTTACTTCCTTGTTGATTTACAGATGAATCTATATGATGTAAATAATGTTGATTTTTTAAATCAAAGTTTGATTCTGAAGTAATTTTCCAAGTGTTTATTTCATTTGTATTTTGTTTTTCATTAGATATTTGTTCATTATTATATTGTAAATTTAAATATTGATAAAAATGATTTTCTGATTGATCTTGTTGTTCATATGAATTAAAATTTTCATTCCATAATTTTATTTGTTGTTTTTCTATGTTAAATTTTTTTTCTTGAAGTTTTGATCTCATAGAAATTAAATGAATATAAAGATCAACATAATTTTCACATTTAATTCTATTTGGTAACCATAAAATAATTGGATTATCAATTGCTAAATATTGACATATTTCAATTAATGATTGTGTAGATTTTTGTTGAAGATTATCTTCAATATCTTTTAATTCATTAAGAAATTTTGTAATTATTTGAATTTTTATTTGAATTTTGTCTATATCATTATTGTCATCCGTATTAAATATGTTGTCATTTAATTTTTGAATCAATTCTTCATTTACTTCAGAATCAATACGAACTCGAAGTAATGATGGAATATCTGTAGACAAATGTTGAAATCCACTAATAGATTCTTTGTAGATTTCAATAACATGATCAATATAACATAATTAAAAATCTTTTATTTCATATTGTTCTAATCGTTGGAGAATATCATTATCATAATCAATCATTCTAATAAATTCAAAGAGATTATTTGTTGAAAAATTATTTTGTTGATCTTTTAATGTTAATGCTATTTGTCTTAGAAGATTATGAGAATAATAAAGTTTATCTAATAAAATATCTTTCAAATGATTCCATTCATTTTCAAGTTGTTCATTACTTAATCGAATCAAATATTTTTTATCGAGATTTAAATATTCAATAACTGTTATTGATTTTCTTTTTGTATGACATTGATATTTTTCAATTAAATGACGATAGTCAATACGACAAAATAGAAGATATGTTCGAATAATTTGTGATTGAATATAGACAAAATCAAACTTTAATCGTGAACCTGATGTAATGAAATATTGTTCTTTATTATTAATAAGACTTGTTTGAGATAATTGTTCAATCCATAGACAATCTTTTTCATTTAAATTAATTACACCTGTATTATCATTTGCAATTTGTAAAATTGAGATATTTTTTGATGTTAATTCTTTGATCAAGTTTCTCAGAGAACCAACAGTATGATTTTCATTATTTTTTAATTCATCTTCCAATAAGTCTAATAAACTATTGTGATAATCAACTAAGACACTAAAAAAAAACAATCAAGAAATTTACTTCACATAATCATTTAATAATGAAATTTCAATCCACACAAAATCTAAGTGTATTCATTTAACAATTGTGTAAGTTGAAATTCAAACTCGTTGACTTTTTCAGTTTTAAAATTTAGAAAATGAATACGAAAATTTATTCACAAATCACCAGAACAGGGTGTGGGTGTGGGTGGGTGTGGGTGTGGGTGTGGGTGTGGGTGTGGGTGGGTGTAGGTGTGGGTGGGTGTGGGTGTGGGTGTGTGTGTTGTCTTATGCTTCTTTAACACTCACACTCACACCCACCCCACCCCACCCACACCCACACCCATACCCCACACCCACACCCACACCCCACCCCACATCCACACCCACCCCACACACCCACCCACACCCCACACACCCACCCACCCACCCACACCCACACCCCACACACTTCCTATACGATATGCAATTGTTCTGGAGGATCTTTGCTAATAACTCATTATTGCTTTTTTGCATATGATAAAGGAAATTTTAATAATAAGATACGAACGTATCCGTCTCTGATGGTCGAAACTTTGGAGCAACCAATCGTTTTTGTATTTGGATTCGAATAAATCTCTTGAGCATACATTTGAAATACGATGAAGAAGAAGCTAGGAGAATAATGGAAATGGCGACAACACTGCCGGTCAGCAACGAAAAGACAAGTACAGTTCGATTTTGTACCAAAATAGAACTCGATAGAGTCGAGAATACTAATCCTATGTTTTCTTAAAGAGAAAGAGAAGAGAAATAAAGAACGTTCATGATACAAGATGCCTTCATCTAATATGTGCCTGTGAACGATAGAAGTTGCTCAAAAAGTTTTTCTCGTATAGTAATTTTGGCTTATTGAATGAAAGAAAGCGAGGAATCTTTACTTGTGACGTAGAAAAAAAACTAGCGCTTATACTGCTTGCTCGATTTTTTTCTTTTAATTATTTTTTATTGTGACTGATCTGAGGATATAAGATCACGAAACCAGCCTGTAGACTTCGTTAGTCTTAGCGAAAA